TTTGTTTTGTTTGTATATTATGGAGGATTAGAGAGAAAGAAAGAAAAACAGAGAGAGAGAGAGAAGAGAGAGAGAGAGAGAGAGAGACATATACACACTCAAAAACAATCGTGGAAAAAGCCCTCCAGACACGCACTTAACTGCAATAGACACTACATGGAACAGCAGAAGCTATATTTCCTTTTAGTGTAGCCCACATCATTCATATTTACATCTTTATAATATCTATAATGAGATTTATAAAATAAGAAAAAGAGAGAGAGAAAGAGAGAGAGAGAGAAAGATAAAAAAAAGAGAATAAACAGTAAGAAAGAAAATATGTTTTTGCATATATACAAACATTTGTACGTATGAATAAAAGTTTCTTTTAAAAACCAGGGAAATACGCGTTGACATGATGACGTTTAAATCGCCATCCAATCAGATCTGAGATTTTTTTTCCTCCATTAAAAATATTTTTTCGCGCCAAAAAATAAACAAATATAGAATATATCTTTAATTTTCACAATTTTAGGGAGTTTAAAAGTGTAAAAATAATTTCATAATTTTTATTAGAAATAATATAATAATTCAATGTCATCATAAATATCATCATCAGCATTGTAACCATCATCATCACCGTCATCACCATCATCATCATCAGTTACCACATCATCATCACCACCTCCAGCCCTCCATCATCATCATCATCATCATCATCATCATCATCATCATCATCATCATCATCATCACCAGTTACAACATCATCATCATCACCAGTTACAACATCATCACCACCACCATCAGCAACATCAACAACATCATCATCATCATCCTCATCACCATCACCCTTGAGATATATTAATTTCACGATATATCAGGATTAATGTGGGAAAAGTTGCAGTTGTCATGACGACAAGACGCTACTTTCAAGTGGTGAAACACCTCGTCCGTGTTTAATCAACACTCTTCACACACACATACACACACACACACCACACACACATATATATACAAAATATAGAAATAAGGCCTGCATGATGAATTCGGATAACAACAACTTTTCAATAAATTTTCATGATGAACTTGTGTTTGTGTGCGGTTAAGTGCACAAATCAAATCAATCACATTCCATTAAATTTTGTAAAAATCTTCTAAAATCTTCTGAGTTTTTTTCATGATTGTCGTTTATTTTAAAAACTGAATACGTTTTTGTTTCTCGATCATGGGCTGGGAAAGAATGGACAACTCCAACGAAAACTGAATAACAGAGTGATAATAGCGAATGAATGATAGATGCAACAAACTTTGGTGGAGTGAGTGAATGAGTAAATGAATGATTGAATGAATGAATGAATAAATAAAAAAATGAATGAATGAATGAATGAATGAATGAATGAATGAATGAATGAATGAATGAATGAATGAATGAATGAATGAATGAATGAATGAATGAATGAATAGGCGAGCAGAACAGTGAAAAAAAATGGATTTAGTGAACCAGCGAACGGGTAAAAGAAGGAACGATTGAATGAATGAATGTGTAAACTAGAAAACGCATAAAAAAAAGAAGAATGAATGAATGAATGAATGAATGAATGAATGAATGAACGAACAAATAACGAATGAATGAACGAACGAGTAAGTGAATGAGAACATGGTTGATTTTGATTTATGGCTTGGAGCCCGCACTTCTGTACACGTTGTGCGTGTAAACCTCTAAGTGACCTTTCCTCTTCTCTCCTCTTCACACACAAACACACACACCCAAACACACGCACACACATACGCACAACAAAACGGAAAAACATACGTACATACATACATACATACATACATACATACGTACGTACATACATACATACATACATACGTACGTACATACATACATACACACGTACGTACACACACATACATACACACACGTACATATACAAACATATACATATACAAACACGTACATATTGATACAACTAACCAATATATGCTTTCAAAAACGCTGTAGTAAGCCCTATTCTGAAAAAAATACATTGAACAGAAATTAACTTTCAAGTTATTGGCCTGTATCGAACCTTGTGTTTTTGCCTGAAGTTGTCGAACGCATAGTCTTTCAGCAACTTGTCACTCACTTAATACCAATAATTTTTTAATTTTTTTCGATTTACCAATCTGGTTATTGTCAGTTTCATTCGACTGAGACGGCTTCATTCGGTCATTCATTTATTCATTCACTCGTTCGTTCGTTCGTTCGTTCGTTCGTTCATTCATTCAGTCAGTCAGTCTTTCTCTATTTCCTTTTACTTCTCGCATTTGTTTGCGAAGATTTGATCTTCCACGTCTCAAACACTGATTGATTGCACTCTCAGATTGAACAAAAGTTTTTTAATAATGCATCCTATCTACACACACACACTCACGCACGCACGCACACTTACACACGCACACACACGCGCACACACACGCGCACATACACACACACAAACAAACACACGCGCACACAACCATACACATATCTACACATACATTCAATTGTGCTTGTGTATAAACTTTGTGTGTGTGTGTGTGTGTGTGTGTGTGGTGTGCGTGTGTATGTATGTGGTGTGTGTGTGGGTTTGCGCGTAACATTGCTACAATAGAAAAACTTTATTTCATAAACAAACAAAAATTTTTCTTTGCTTTTTTATTCAAACATACATAATTGAAACAATACAAATGTTTCCATACAATGGATTATACAGTAACACGAATAATACATACAAATATATTGTATACTAAAATGTATGCATACATTGCATACATGAATGTATACAACATTGTATTCATAAATACATACAAAAGTTGTTTACAAAAAAGTACACAAAAACTTTGTATATAAATAAAATATATCTTTTAATACAAATAAACATCTAATCAAATATTTATTGTAAAAAAAATATTTACATTTTTTTTAGAAAAAATGAAGAAAATATTATTAAAATTTTTAATAAGGCATATACAGGCAAACATACAAATATTGACACAAAGAAACGTATTAATACAGACATGCACACAAACATTAAAACAAACTCGAATGCAAATTTTTGTACATACTCATACAAATACAAAAAAATACATACAAACAAATACATACAAACGTACAAACAAATATACAAACACCTACTTATACACACAAACAAACATATATACATACATACATAGAAACGTTCAAACAAATATACAAACAAACAAATATACAAACAAACACACACACACTCACAGGTACACAAAGCAAAAATGAACAGTGAATTTCATAACCCGCGTGTATTATTTTCACCCCTCAACTCTCGACTTTCCATCATTTTGTTTTGTTTATCGTCATCAAATTGTCTAAAAAAAAAGGTTTTTTCTGTTTCTCTATGGAAATAACTCTCCATTCGTATTCTGTATGTATTAGTGTTTTGTATGCCTGTGTGTTTTAGTACTTGTTATTTTTGTTATTTTTAATTTGTATGCGTGTAATATTTAGTATTTCTATGTTTGTATGTTTATTCTAAACAAACATCTTGGTATTTGGAGTATTTTTTACTTGTATGTTTACTCAAAATAAATGTTTGCATGTTTGTTTGAAAATAACATTTGCATTTTTTTTTAGTTTTTTTCCTTTGAAAATTGTGTGTACGTGTGTGTACGTGTGTGTAATGTATAACATGTGTACGCTTAGAGAGAGAGAAAGAGAGAGAGAGAGAGAGAGAAAGAGAGAGAGAAAGTAAGAGAGAGAGAGAGAAAGAGAGAGAGAGAGAGAGTAGTAATGACACGTTTCCATCACCTTGTCAATGCTGAAAACGTCAAAAAGGCGGTATTTGGCGGAATATAAATTATAAACATACCACCGTATTTATTTGTTAGTACTATTTATACAAATTTTTGTACACATTTTTGTGTATATTGTTATGTATACAATGTTTTTCATGTGGTATGTATGCAATATTTGTATGTAATTTTGTACGCGCATTCATAATTTGTATTTCCTGTACTTACGTGCGAATGCTTAATTAAAATAATTTGAAAATGTTTATTTAGTAAAAATAATTTAATAAAAAAACAATAAATTGAATTAATATATAGGGACGATGGTATGGTATTTTTAAATAAAATTTCAATTTGAATTCTAGAGCAAGAAAACAGCGGTGGTGAATGCCAGAAGGTCAAAAAGCCAACATCCACCCACAACAAACATTGAAAAATCTCAAATTATAATCTAAGAGAACATTTTTAGATGTAACAGGCATCGACAACTATAATACAACTGCTGCTGCTTCTACTACTGCTGCCGCCGCCGCTACTACTACTACCAAAACGACAGCATCGCAACAACAACAGTTACTACTGCTACTATTACTACTACTGCTGCTGCTACAACATCAATCGCGATTTTTTCGACTCAATTAAAAGTTGAAAGTGATGAAAATAATTTGTTTTTGGAATTATTAAAATCATCAGAGTCGTCTAAAGCAACGTTAAAGAAAAAAAAATCTTTGAATTAAAAATCAACTACTTCTACAACAACAACAACTACTACTACTACTACTACTAAAACCACAACTACAACTATTACTATTATTACCAACACAACAACAAAAACATCAATATCATAAGAACTTTGAAAAAATAAGTTCACATCAAAAACAACAACATCGCCTACTACCGCTACTGCAATTACTACTATTACCACAACTACAACTACTACTACTACAATTGCTACAACAACACAAAATAATAGGTAAAACTACAACAACTACAACAAAACTACAGAAGAACAACGATAACGAAATTAACGACAGTATATCATTGAACTTGACTTAATACAAAAGCAAGAGCGAATATACACTAGCAACAACAACATCACTACAACAACAATACTATCATTACATCAGCATCATTGCAAGAACATTACAAGAACATTAACAGTATTACGCCAACATTATCACATCAATAATAATAATAATAGTACTAATAACAGTAATAGTATCTATAATTATACCATGGGAAATACCCATGATACTGAAATAGCCCGTATTGAAGCCGACTATATCCACACAAAGTGGAGAACCACTGGTGATTACAGATGGGGCTACTCGAATGATAGAGGTTTGTTGGGGGGTAAAGGTCATACCAAAGGGTGAAGGTAATTTTTTTGTATAAAGGGGTGAAGGTCACTTTATCGTATTTGGAGGTTAAGAAAATTTTGTGCACATTGAAGTAAAAAATGAAATTTGTATATTGAAGAGATTTTGTGAATCCCACAAGTTTGATTTAGCATATTTAAGTGTGAAAATTCGCATTTTTGTATTGCAGGGCAAAAATGCACAAACACACACGCACACACACACATACACAAACAAACACACACACACAAAAACAAAAAAAAACACACGCTCATACAAACACACACATGTTCGCGTATGCAAGGAGTTATAAACATAGAGACCACTTGTCAGCCTGCTGACATTTTCTTGACGGCAAATACCGCACAACGCAAAGTTGTACACTCTTTGAGTGTATGTTGGTATGTATATGTCTGTGTATGTGTTTGGTTGTGTATGTGTGTGTTTGTGGTTGTAGGTATGTGTATGTATTTATGTTTATGTGTATGTGTACGTCTGTATATGTTTGCGTGTGCGTGTAAGTGTGTATTTGTATGTGTGTATATGTTTGTTTGAATAAATTTTTTCTTGCTTTTTTGATGTTTTCGTCTATCCAACTGTTCATTTATTCATTAATCAATTTGTTCACATTCAGTCATTCTTCTATTTTTCATTCAATCATTTATTAACTGATTGGTTTGTATGTTTGTTTGTTCATTTGTTCATTCATTTGTTCATCTATTCATTAAAATAATTGTGTGTCCACTTTTCCATCCATTAAATATTTTCAATAACTGGTCGAAAATTCGATCGTCAATTTTGGGCAAAAACAAAAGCGTTCATAAACATTTGTATTAGAAACAATGTGTGTGTGTGTGTGTGTGTGTGAGTGCGTGTGCATGTGTATATGTTTATTTGTACGTGTATATATGTGTGTATATACGTGTGTATGTGTGTTTTCATACATATATACATACACACACACATACATCATAAACACACACACACATACATTCATACGTACATACATGCGTACGCACATACATACATACACACATACATATATACATACATACATGCATACATACAAACATACATGCATACATACATACATTCATACACACATATATACATACATAAATACGTACATACGTCCGCACAGAAGTAGCGTTGCGTCTTTAACAGGCGCTAGACCAGTAGCCATCCGTATCAAATCTCCATCTAAAATTAGAATACCCCCTCTCCTTTTTACCTCTCTATATCTCACCTGCTTACGCCATCTTTCTCTTTTTTCCTTTTCTCTCTTTTTTTCCCTCTACATTTCTTACTTTCTTTCTCTTTATATTCTCTTTCTTTTCTTCTTTCTTTTAATTTCTTCCTGTTTTCTCTTCTTTATTTCTTCTCTCTTTTTCTTTCTTCTTTTCTTCTCATCCTTTTCTTATCCTTCTTTCTTTCCTTTCTCTCTCTTTCTTTCTTTCTCTCTCTCTTTCTCTCTCTTTATCTTTCTCTTTCTTGTTTCGTAATGGTGCATTGCATTGAAATTGTATTTTATATGATGATGTTGCGGTTGTTGTTTCTTGTGCTGTCGTAGGTGTACTTAATTGCGATGTTGGTGTTTACCATGACTGTTGTTGTTGTTGTTGTTTATTTCTGATTTTTGTTGCTGTTGTTAGGATTGTTGTTTATTTTTTGATTTTTTTTTTATAAATTTCTTTTCAACGCTACTCGCTTCTTTCAAGTTTTTATTTCTATCTCCAGTGCAATCCTTTCATCATTTTTCAAGCCACGCCGGACGCTGCATTAAAAGCTGTGCAATATTCCCACAAAGCTGTGCAATATTCACACAAAGCGTACGAACGTATTAAAAATATATAAAAAATACAAACTATGAACGTACAACTACGTACATGCATACATACATTCATACATACATAGAGACTCTACGCAATGTACTGCAATAATCTAGTACTGCAAGGTACTGGGAAGAATTGCAAAGTACTAGAAAAAACGCAACGAGAAGGATGAAGAAGTGTCGCGGTATGCCAAACGAAGACAGATTAAAAGTTTGTGGATTGACAACATTGGAAAAAAGAAGAACAAGAGAAGATTTGATTCAGGCATACAAAATCATCGCTACGAATGAGAATTTGGAATCAGCAAATGTTTTGAGCTTAAAATGAACTGTAAGACAAGGGGGCATAAATATAAGGTCTTTAAAAAAACATTTGTCAGCTGCAGAGTTGTCAACGAGTGCAACAAACCGGAAAATGAAATAACATGCACAGAAGCAACTAATAACTTTAAAGCAAACTTGGAAAAAGTAGGATATTCAAAAAAAAGTCTCAGAGTGTCACAGACTTAGTCTTCTTGGATCACTAAAAAAAATCGGCTATGTTTTGTAATCGTTAGCACCTCTGAAATCGATCTTTTTAAAGGGCGCTTACAAACACACCAATAATAGAAATAATAACAATGATAATAATAAGAATTATTATTATTATAATAATTATAATTATTATAGATACATACAAATAAGCTAACATAAATATAGATAAATATACATTATACACATACACACATAGAAAAACAAACCCAAAACCACACAACAACAGGTCCAGAAACATGGTGGGTGTATTACCCTTCTGCTTCCGGGGGCATGCAATCTCCGATTGACCTCATAACCGAGGAGGTCACCTGGGATCCCGACCTACAACAACACCCCCTACAAATTTGCTACAGGGTCGATACCACCCAAGATGTCAATGACGATGACGATGATAACAGGTTTGTGTGTGTGTGTGTGAGTGTTTCTGTTTGTGTGCGTGTAAGAGTGTTTCTGTTTATGTATGTATGTGTGTCTGTGTGTGGCGTGTCTGAATATACATAGGTGTGTGTTATATGTGTATACCATCAAAAGTATTTTAATGTTTTGTTTTCATTGGATTATCATTTTTTCGACATCATTTTCCATTTCTATCGCTAACATACTGAAATTGTTACGGTTCTTGAGGAAGATACAATAATGTCATTAACATTTATTAATTCCTTTCATCCTTTTAAGACATACTCGAACACACACACACTAATACACACATACAAACACACAAACTAACACACACACACGCACACGCTCATACACACACACAAACTAACACACACACGCGCACACATACACATACACACACACACACACAGTTCCGGAATGAATGGGAGCAGTTGTGGTAGAGAGCGTCTGGTTGTGGAAAATACTGGCAACGCCATTAAAATTAATGTTCTCAACTCTCGCTCATGTTAGTATTACTGGTAGTATAAGTAGTAGCTGCAGCAGCTGCAATGTAGCGGCAGCAGTATTAGTGGTAGTAACACAACTACTTGTAGTAGTAGTAGTGGCGATCGTAGCAACAGCAGTAGTATTAGTAGTAGTTGCAGTATTAGTGTTAGTGTTAGTAGTAGTAGTAGTAGTAGTAGTAGTAGTAGTAGTAGTAGTAGTAGTAGCAGTATAGCAGTAGTATTAGTAGTATTAGTAGCCACAGTTGCAGTAGAGAAGTATTTTTTGTAGTGCTTGTCGCCAGCATCACCAGCGTTTTCATCGTCCCCACCAGATATGACTGGCGGTCCGTGCAGAAGCCAAAGCTACGTTCTGAACCACATCGATCTGCATTGGGGCGAGACAGACGCCTTCGGGTCGGAACACCTCGTCAACACTCACTCCTCTGCCGCTGAGGTAATACTGATGATGATGATGATGACGGTGATGATAATGATGGTTATACTGATGATGGTGGTGATGATGATGACGGTGATGATAATGATGATTATTATTAATTACTATGATATTATTATTATCATTATGATAATGATGATTACGGTGGTAGTGATGATGACGATGATGGTTGTGGAAGTGGTCGTCGTCGTCAGCATCATCATCATCATCATCATCAGCGTAATCATCATCATGATTGGTGGCCGTGCGATCAGTGCATGTTGTAGGTAGCGGGGGGCTGTAGATGGTCAATCGTCGTACAGTACTTGAACTGAACGTGCGGTAAAATGGAAGGATGAATGAAGATGGATGGATGGATGGATGGATGGATGGGTGGATGGATGGATGGATGGGTGGATGGATGG